CTGTTCCTATGCAAAATCCAAACTAAGAACTACCTGTAGAATTGACCCATCATTGAGAGGAGATTCGTATACTGACGATGAATGGGAAATAAGTGAAATCCTAAAAGAACAGTATGAGTCAGTGTTCAGCAACCCACTAAATGACAGCAAGGTAGAAAATGTAGAAATATTTTTCACTCCAGCAGAAGGCCGCACAGACCAACTAACCGACATTAGTACAAATCCAATAGATTTCAGAAAAGAAATGGACAACATGCCCACTCACTCAGCACTTGGACCAGATTCATGGAATGCTCTGTTTATAAAGAAGTGCAAAGTACCACTAGCACGACCCCTCAGTAATGTTTGGAGAAAGAGCTTAGATCTACGTGAAATATCGGAGGCCTTAAAGAATGTAGACATAGCTCATTTGCATAAGGGAGGTAGTAAGCACTAGCTAAAAATTACAGAAGATGTACTGTTATGCAGACTACTGCATTGGTTTACAAATGGTATAAATAATATCAGTGCACTTGTGAAAGAATATCAGACTCACCAGTTGACGTGTATTGGACGAAAGAGTGATGAGATGGCAGATTACAAATTTCATGGACCAGCACAACCAGCATAACCCGAATCAGCATGGTTTTAGAGCAGGATGATCATGCCTGTCACAGCTGCTGAACCATTATGACAAAATTACGGAGACATTGGAAGAAGACCAAAATGCAGATGTGATTTATGTACACAGATTTTGCAAAGGCGTTTGACAAATACAATCATGGAGTGATAGCGCACAAAATGAGGGTCATGAGCATTATGGGAAAGGTAGGCAGATGGATTTTCAGGTTCCTAACACACAGAACACAACAAGTAGTAGTAAACAGAGCAAGATCCAGGATCAGCGAGGTCAAAAGCTCAGTGCCGCAAGGCACTGTCCTGGCACCTCTACTGTTTCTCGTCCTCATAGCAGACATAGATAAAAACACCCGTCACACTTTTGTATCATCATTTGCAGATGACACTAAAATAAGTATGAAAGTCACCACAGTAGAAGACACTGAAAAATTACAGGGTTTTCCAGTGGGCAGTGCAGAACAACATGACGTTCAGTGGTGATAAGTGCCAGCTTCTTAGATATGGAAAGAATAAAGAACTCAAAAGGAACACTATATACAAAACTCAAGAGGGTCACCAAATAGAACAAAAGGAACACGTAAAAGACCTGGGAATAATTGTGTCAGTTGACCTTTCTTTTAACCCTTTCAGGGTTTCGGCCGTACTAGTATGGCTTACGAGCCAGGGTTTTTGACATACTAGTACGCCTAAATTCTAGCGCCCTCAAATCTAGTGTGAGAAAGCTGGTAGGCCTACATATGAAAGAATGGGTCTATGTGGTCAGTGTGCTTGGTATAAAAAAAATCCTGCAGCACAGTGCGTAATGAGAAAAAAAAACTTTGACCGTGTTTTTGGATTAAAGCAGCGACTTTGCACTGTATTTTCGTATGGTATTTATTGTTGTATTCTAGTTTTCCTGGTCTCATTTTATAGAATGGAAGACATATTACAGAAATTGAGATGATTTTGACTGGTTTTACAAAGAAAAGTACCTTGAAATTGAGCTCAAAGTAGCAGAGATGTTCGATTTTTACCAAAGTTCAAAAGTAAACAAATTATGCTGTGCATCCAATACACGTCAACTGGTGAGTCTGATATTCTTTCACAAGTGCGCTGATATTATTTATACCATTTTTACACCAATGCAGTAGTCTGCATAACAGTAAATCTTCTATTTTTTTTGTGAGAATAAAAATTCAAAGTAGAAAGCAAAAGAATGTAAGAGGGGCATGGGGATGTGACTAATGAACAGAGGAAATGTTATTTTAGTGCCAAGAATGTCTTTCTTGTTTATTCTGGACCCTATTTGGAAATTGGCATCTTTTGAAATTTGTGTGAAATTGGCAAAATTGCTAAATTCTGACCACAGTATTGGATAGTTGAAATCATTAAATGGGTGGTTTCTTGTATTCATTCGATAGAAAAAATGGAGTTCTAGCAAAATAGTTGTGTTTTTTGTCGACAAGTACACTAAAATTGGCCGAAAATAGGGCTCAAAGTGGGCAAAATCGCCAATGCATAAACATCGTTGGGACCTCTAACTAGTGCTCCCTCATTTAGAATCTTGCTCACTGCTGACGGCCCCATTCAAAGCAGGAGAAATATCAGAGCTGGAACAAATACACGTACAGAGATCATTTACAACTCACATTGAGCCAGTAAAGTACCTAAATTACTGGGAATGCCTTCAAGGGTGTGTTACCCGTGGTTACGCACGGAGTATGAAAACAAATCAAGAAACATCTAAAATGAGTTTTATTGACAGAAAAATAGTTTAAGAATCTGGCAACATTTTGGTGAAAATCCCATTTTAATACGACGTTTCTAAAGCAGTTTATAGCTATTTGAAACATATTATCTTACGAAGCACAAGGTAAAAAAGTTCGTGACCGCGCAAGATTTTTTTTTTAATTTTGTCTAGTTTTCTTTTTAGCAGCTTCAAATTTAGTGCGAGAAAGCTGGTAGGCCTACATCTAAGAGACTGGGTCTGTGTGGTCAGTGTGTACAGTAATCAAAAAAATCGGGACAACAGTATCGCATTGTGGGAATGCCATCTCAGTACCCATTGTTCACTATGTCTCATGGTAGCAAAAACCTCTCTCCCAGGCGAACTGGGAATCTTCTCTTCCCAAGTAACAGTTGTAACAGTGACAAAAGTGGAAGAGAAGATGAATTCTGTGGTTTTGAGCAGTTACCAAAAGCATTGCTCAGGATGATGGAAATAGTGCTGAAAACCCAGATGACCCTCAACCATTCACCTCTGGGGTTGGTCTGTCTGTTTTATGGTAAGTTTTACAATGCTGTAAGCATAAGCTTATATTCTCCCATGGCCAGGGCTCAGATGTGAGTAATGGTAGTGACAGTAATGTTGATTTCCTTGCTATTGATGACCATTCAAGTAGCAACAATGAGGAAGAATATTCACTAGTGAAGCATCGATTTATACAACTGCTTGCAGTCCGGTAGTGTACCATATGCTATTCCAAGGGGGCAGAGTATATCCCTGAGTACATCCCATGGCCTTTCACCATCAACAGTGAAAGTTGCTACAGTTGGGATGGATAATAGACTACATGCATCAGTAGGTGGTGGTGCCATGCGGGATATGGCAACAGCGCAAGCCGGAAGCCACGCTGCTGACTCAGCATATCCGTGGCTCAGGGCATCCTCAACCACAACCAGCTACTAATATCCACTACCCATCAACAGACTGCATCTGGGATTGGCAGCAAAAAAGCAAATTTTGTGCCCAATCCCCATCAGTTTGATGACAGTCACAGTGGAATTCTGCTAAATTGTACCCTGTGGAACGGAAATATAAACACATATGCAGTATAATGTGATCCTTTATTGACTACGTTTCGCCCACACAGTGGGCTTTTTCAAGTGGGCGAAACGTAGTCAATAAAGGATCACATTATACTGCATATGTGTTTATATTTCCATTGTGTCGGTATTTTATACCATTTATTTCCACCCTGTGGAACACTGCAAGTGAACTGAAATTTTTTGATTTCTGTTTGATCAACCCCTGATGGAAATTATTGTCAGGGAAAAATAACAGATACTGTGATTATACCATGGCAAGCACAATGGTTTCACCAGTCATGACTACATGGGTAGAAGAAAACAACTATGGCTGAGATGTATTTATTTTTTGCCACAATATTGCTTATGCTACATGAGTGAATTCATGAGGTCTTTACTCCCACTGTCAAAAAATACCTCATTAAAAAAAAATTACCATTCAGGGCTCTTTTACTTATGGATAATGCTCCTTCTCACTCTCCAAACTTGGAAAACGAATTGCTAGAGGAGTTCAGTTTTATAACTGTGAAGTTCTTGCCTCTTAAAGGAGCCGAGCTCGATATTTTATACGCGGTCCATGGACCAGAAGGTCATTTCTAACTTCAAGAAACTACACCAAAGCACTTTTTGAAAGATGCTTTGAAATTACTTTGGAAACAAATTTAACCATCAGGGAGTTCTGGAAGGACCATTTCAGTATAGACAAAGCCTGGGGGTAATGTGTCTTCCAGGACCATGCAGTCAGCGTGGAAGAAATTGTGGCTTGCCTTTGTGGCAGCCAGGGATTTTGAAAGCTTTGAAGATGAGTATGAGCCGGTAGAGGATACTGTGTCCCTGGGGAAGACCTTGGGCCTAGAGGTGACTGAAGATGATGTGGAGGAGCTGGTGGAGGAGCATAGAACTGAACTCACTACAGAAGAACTTGTAGACCTTCAGAAGGAGCAGCAACAGATTGCAATGGAGGAGCTGTCATTAGAGGAAAAGGAGGGAAGGAATAATGTGCCCTTTGCACTTGTCAAGGAAATGTGTGCTAAATGGCATGAAGTGCAGGAGTTTCCTGAAAAATACCATCCAGACAAAGCAGTGGTCATCCATCTCACAAACATGCACAATGACAGTGTAATGTCTCAATTTAGACAAGTGTTAAAGCAGAGCCTGAAACACACCTCAGGACAGGTTTTTAGTGAGACAAAGAACCAGTGAGCCAGAACAAGGTGTTAGTGATGAAAAGAGACAAAGAAAAGAAACAGCACTAGGACAGTTGCCTGACATATTAATAGAAGGTGACTCTCCTTCCAAGCAGTAACATACCCCCTCCTCTCCTCCACCTCCTGTTTCCAGTATGCCATTAGCTTTCCACTGACAGCCTTTTATACGCATTGAATTTTCACACAGGTTGAGTCAGACACAGGGGATGTCAAAGAGGTTTTTGTGTCCTGTGTGTTCTGCTGCAGCTATCAAGGAAAAGTTTCATAGAAGGGTTTATATTGGGATTGATTGTTCTATACATTTATGTATATGTAATAGGCACAGTAGTATGAGTGCATATTGTGTATATTAAGTTTAAGCTTTTAATTATATTCATTGATTTGCAGGAGATTAAAAGTAGCAGATTTTGACTACAGTCAAGCATGCTCATATGTGGCCAAGATTACTGAAGGTATGTCAGGCAGAGAAATCACCAACTTGGCATTAGACTGGCAAATGACAACATATGCATCCCTTGAAGGTATTTTCACAGAAGATATTATGCGACGTAGAGCAGAAGCAACTGTTCAGCATAAGAAATATAAGGTACAGTGTGTGTTTACTTATCTAGTAGTAAACTTATAATGGTTTCTATTAGATAAATACTAAATGTCCTCCATGGGGAAGTTGAACAGAATTCCTCCTCCAAAAGCCATGCGTGTCGTAAGAGGCAACTAAAATGCTGGGAGCAAAGGGCTAGTAACTCCTTCTCCTCCTCCTGCCGAGAGACCTGGTCGTGGACTGAGCCGCAGGAGCATTGTTCCCTGGAATACCCTCCAGGTAGACTCCAGATATACCTTACTAAATTTAAAAAAGAGAAACTTTCATTTTTCTCTTTAGGTCACCCTACTGGTTTGTTGAAAAAAAATATTCTAAATGTACAAGAGTATAGTAGTACTAGCACAGTAACGCTCTTATATGGGTGTGAAGTATGGGTTGTGAATGCTGCAGCAAGAAAGAGGCTGAAAGCAGTGGAGATGTCATGTCTAAGGACAGTATGTGGTGTAAATATTATGCAGAGAATTTGTAGTGTGGAAATTAGGAGGAGGAGCTGTGGAGTTACTAAAAGTATTATTCAGAGGGCTGAAGAGGGGTTATTGAGGTGGTTTGGTCATTTAGAGAGGCTGGAGCACAATAGGTTGACTTGGAGGGTATATAAATCTGTAGTGGAAGGGAGGAGGGGTAGGGGATCATCCTAGGAAACAATGGAGGGAGGGGGTAAAAGAGGTTTTGTGTGCAAGGGGCTTGGACATACAGCAGGCATGTGTGAGCATGTTAGATAGGAGTGGAGATGAATGATTTTTGAGACTTGATGCGCTGTTGGAGTGTGAGCAGGGTAATATTTCATGAAGGGATTCATTGAACCAGTTAGCTGGAAAGTAAAAGGACACAAGTGCAACTAATGTGACATTTATTGTGGCAACGTTTCGCTCCTCCCAGGAGCTTTATATCAAGGCCATTAACAAACAATACATGGACACAGAGGTATATAAAGGCTTCAGAGTGAGTGAATACTAGTGATACCATTTCCGATGTTCACTATTGGTAGTATAGTAGTAGTAGTAGTGACAAAAGTAATACAATATGGTAGAGCAATAATTCGTACATGAGATAAAAAGGATATGAAAAGCTATTACTTGGGTAAACATAAAAATAGGTTGGACAAAATATAAACTGGAATGAGGCAGCTTGTTTTCATGTTCACTCTCTTGTGCTTTGTGTAGTATAACAGTGAGAGATATGTGATGGCAGGGGTTTACTGTTTTCAGGAGGATTCTTTCTAAGACGTTCGGAGATGGTGAAGCTGCCGTTGTTTTGTTTAATTGGTATTCGAAACAGCGATCAGTGCTGAATCAAGGCACTTTGCGTGTGCGAAATATTAAGTTTCTTTTATCACTAATTGGCTTCTCTGAATTTTCATAAGATGATTGGTGGAATTTCGTGTTGTACACGAGGCTTTGTGTTTTAATTTGTCGTTCCTACAATGCGTATATGTGTCATTGAGGCGGGTGTCGAGGTGTCTTGCTGTTTCACCTACATAGATCTTTTCACAGCCTCCCAGGGTATAGGTAAACTCCTGCATTGACGTTCTGTGGTGCTTGGGTTTTGTCCTGGTTAGATCTTTATTGAAGTGGTAGAAGCGATGGCGACTCTGGTGTTAGCTTGTGAAAGTAATTTTAGACATTTGTGCAACCTGGCTGTTGGAAGAATTATAACTTTGTTGGAGCGTGTTGATGCGGAGAATTGATGATCTGAATAGCTCTTTTCTTGCGTCTTTGAAGAAAAAAGAAGGAAATTGTAACTCAGTGAATGATTGGTGAATGTAGTACATATCCTGCGCAAGAACTCAGGACTACAATTCGGTATGCTCTTAGGAAAAACCCGATGAGATGCCTCTTTGTCTTTGTATCTTGACTGGAAAGAAGTGTGTGAGATCTATTTTATTGGTGGGTTTCCGATAAACTGAAAATCTAGGTTGTGTCCTACTTCGTGAAAGAGACGTCGAGGAAAGGAGCCTTGTCATTGGACCTTCTTCTAGTGTAAACTGAATCGCTGGTTCAACCTGCGTGAGCCTTGCCCTGAAGATCCCGTACATCAAAACGTTTTGGAGTTATTACGGAGGACATCATCCCACCGTTAACTAACCAAGTGACGCTTGAAGGGAAGATGTGGAGAAGTGGATCGACTCTAGGTGTTCCATGTATAAGTTGGCTAGGACTGCAACTTATATGGGGACCCCAATCCCATGCCGAAGGTTTTGTTTGTAAGCTTGTTATTGAAGAAAAACAGTTTAATTAAACACAGAGTTCAATCAAGTCAACATAATCTCCGTGAGGTAAGGTAGATTAGGTCCTGGTTGACTTTACGTCGTAGAACCTCGATGCTTTTTTTGGTAGGTTACTTTTGTGAAGAGGGAAGTCACATCCAAACTGTTAGTTTTCTTGTTACGGATTGAGAGGTTTACGGATGCGTTGAGAAGGGCGCCTGAGTGTTTATAAGATGAGCGGGGCAGATGGTCCCCAGAAGGCAGAAAGATGTTTGCAGAACCCCGTCTAGTTTGTGTGGAGCACTGCCTATTCCTGACTTGATTGGTCTGAGAGGAATATTGTTTATATGGTCTTGGGTAGACCATACAAGTTGCTGAGTTTAGGGTTGCTTGGTAACAAGACAGAAGTTTCTCCTTCTCACACACTTTCTATTCCAGTCAAGCTACCAAGACCAAAATAGCGATCATCATCGGGTTTTCCTAAGAGTCATACCGAATTTGTAGTCCTGAGTTCCTTGACGAGATGTACTTAACATTCACCACACATTCACTGATTACAATTTCCTTCTTTTTTCATCAAAGACTGCAAGAAAAGAGCTCTTCAGATCATCAATTCCTCCACCATCAACACCGCTCCCAACAAATTTATAATTCTTCCAACAGTCCAGTTTGCCACTAAACGTCTCAAAAGTATTTCACAAGCAAACACCAGAAGTCGCCATCCGCTTTCTAACCACTTCAATAAAGGATTCTAAGCCAGACAAAACCCCCAAGCACCACGAACCAGTCAATGCAGGAGTTTTTACACATAAACCCCTGTGAGAGGCTGTGACAAGATCTACGTAGTGAAACAGCAAGAAACCTCAGACCCCGCCTCAATGAACACATATACGCATTAGGAATGGAAAACAACTTAAACAACGCCTGTGTAAAACACCGGGGGGGGGGGGGGGGATTGGGCCCACCAATTCCTCTTAAGAAATTCAGAGTGAACGCCCAATTAGTGATAAAAGAAACTAATTTCCGCACACGCAAGTGCCTTGATCAGCACTGATCGCTGTTTTCGAATACAATTAAACAAAACAACGGCAGTTCACCAACTCCGAAGTCTTAGCAAGAATCCTCCTGAAAACAGTAACCCTGCCATCACATAGTCTCTCCTGTTATACTACTCAAGCACAAGAATGTAAGACACTGAAACAAGCGCATATCAGTTTATATTTGTCCCCAACGCTTATTTTATGTTACCCAAGTAATAGCTTTTATATCCTTTTACTCATGTACGAATTAATTGTCTACTACCAATTGTATTACTTTTGTCACTACTACAACTACGACTACTACCTACTACTACTACTACTACCTCTAGTGAAACACGAAATGGTACCTCAGTCTAGTATTCACCTCACTCTGAGCTTATATACCCTCTGTGTCCATGTATTGTTTGTAATGGCTTGATAAAGCTCCTGGAGAGCGAAACGTTGCCACAATAAATGTCACATTAGTTGCACTTGTGTCCTTTTACTTTACATATTGTCGTAATTCCTACAAATTTATTACAGTTTCTGGACTTGAGTCCTGGAGGTATGAAGTACAGTGCCTTCACCTTAAAGGAGGGATTTAGGATATTGGCTGTTTAGAGTGACATCCAAGCTGTCATATCTGTGCACCTCTACAAAGACAGTGGTGAAAGTGTCTTTTTTTTGGGTCACCCTGCCTCAGTGGGATACGGCCGGTTTGTTGAAAAAAAAATGTGTGCAATGCAGTGTTCCTGATCATTTGCCCCTGCCGCCTAGTCCATGACCAGGCCTCATGATGGATCAGGGCCTTAACAACCAGGCTGTTGTTACTGGCTACATGCAATCCAATATACAAACCACAGCCTGGCTGGTCAGGCATTAGATATCTGTCCAATTCCATCTTGAAGACAGCTAGGGATATATTGGTAAGGCCCCCTTATAAGAACATAAGAAAGAAGGAACACTGCAGCAGGCCTGTTGGCCCATACTAGGCAGGTCCTTTACAATCCATCTCACTAACAAAACATTTGCCCAACCCAATTTTTCAATGCCACCCAAGAAAAATAAGCTCTGATAACTCTATCCACTCTCATATGCAAGTTCCACTCAAATCCAACCCCTCTCACTCATGTATTTATCCAACCTAAATTTGAAACTACCCAAGGTTTTAGCCTCAATAACCCAACTAGGTAGACTGTTCCACTCATCAACTACCCTATTTCCAAACCAATACTTTCCTATATCCTTTCTAAATCTAAACTTGTCTAATTTGAATCCATTACTGCAGGTTCTCTCTTGGAGAGAGATCCTCAAGACCTTATTTATATCCCCTTTATGGGGAGGCTGTTGAACAGCCTTGGACCTGTGACACTTATTGTCACTTAAGGTTCTGAAGCTCGGGAGTGTCCATAATCCTAGCACTTATAAGTTAAATGATGTAGAACTTAGCCATACAGATTGCAAAAAGGACTTGGGGGTTATGGTGAGCAGCAACCTTAAACCAAGACAGCAATGCCTAATCGTACGTAATAAGGCAAATAGATTACTGGGATTTATATCAAGAAGTGTAAGCATCAGAAGTCCAGAGGTCATACTGCAGCTTTGTACATCATTAGTAAGGCCTCACCTAGATTATGCAGCTCAGTTCTGGTCTCCATATTACAGAATGGACATAAATTCATTAGAAAACATTCAGCGTAGGATGACTAAATTAATACATAGCATTAGAAATCTTCCTTATGAAGAAAGATTGAATACTC